ATATATATATATATATATATATATATATATTGTACATTGAAGCAAATTCAGTAGTTTTTAATCGACAAGTAGGCCATAAAAAGCAGCCACTAATCCCTAATTCAAAACACATTCTCGAGTAAACTGTGTTAGATTTTATGTGGAGCACAGAAACGTAACAGAAGCAACCTCATTTACCTACTTGGGAAGCATCGTTTCAACTATAAGCAGACGGAACTGTTGAAGATATCAAAGTAAGAATCGAGAAAGTAAGGTGAGCTTTCATTACTCGCAAGTCTGTGTGGAGATCAACAGCACTCAGCATTAAAAATAAGATCCGGATTTTCGACTCCAATGTGAAGTCAGTGCTACTACACTGATGGATAAAAGACTTGAAGACGCGTCATGAAGAGCACTTCAAACAAATTACACACCTTCATCAATAGCTTTCTTCGCTCAATACTGAATATCAGATGGCCAGCCAGAAAATATCAGCCACAGGGATCTTTGCAAACCAATCAGGAACCGACTGTTCAGCATTTATTTTAGGAAGAAATGGAGGTGGATTGGCCATACTTTGAGAAAACCATGAATTGACATCACACGCCAAGCCATCTCTCGAATGGAGCCCGAATATATTTCCAGTGCGAGGGTGACATGGAGGAGGTTGTAGCGGTAAATAATTCCCCGAAATTATTGACCACAGCAATCACTCACCATTGGATGCTGACCACCACTGTTTAAATCGACTTGTTTAGCTGAAGGCTTCCGGTCAAGCATCCCCGCCATTTGGTACCCCGTCGTGTCACGTGCACGTTCAATAGCTAGCTAAGCGTTCGTCTGAAGACTTGTTTTGGTCCCGAAATATATCACTTAGTTTGGACGATCAAATATTGGCTTTTGCTTTGTTGTTGGTGCGCGAGAATAATTTAGAGGCTGTGTAAGAGAATTCCGTCAACCCTCTAAAAGGTCATGCGAAGATCATATGAAAGCACATGAAGAGACGTGGAACCAGGTGATGAAGATGTTGGTGGAGAACCAAAAGCCATGGAGATGTGCGGCTGTAGCCCTTTATTCCTTCAGGAACTAAAGGAAACAATAATAACAAGAATACAGGAACGGAAGTGTTTCTTTGAAAAATGATAATACTTTACAAAAGTGGTTTTTACTAAATTCGTCCATTAGGGAAAACCAGATAGCACTGACTTGATTTTGTGACGCAAACGTCAGTATGGCTATACATCCTTTAACAGAAAAAGGCTTTCATAACGGTATTTATCAGGATCATAAGCAATAAACTTTCCTCGAAACGTTATCCACATATTAGCACTGTATCATTGTGTTCTATCAAATAAAGTGATCTAATATAGAAGCAATCATTTGTACTTTGTCTTCAAAGTATGATTCCAGAAATAAGAATGTTTTTATCAGACTTGTTGACTTTATTACAGTTAATTTTTCTGTGCACAAAGAACATATTTACAATTCGTATAGTTTCTCATCCCTTAGTGATTTTAGCGGGATAATATAGTGTCGTTTTGTTGCTTCGTTCTAATTTTCAGCACTGCCAATACCGAGCTTTTGAAACTCTGAGCGATAAACAAGTAAAGAGAACGTTTTAACCTGTATACATCACCTGATAAACACAAATATATTATCACACCGAAATATATGACAAGGTTTACTGAAATACTAGGCAGTGAACCATCAATCTATGAAGCATTTCTTTAGAAGTCAGATTCAAGTAGCTAAAAGAAGAGTAGCAATAATGCTAGCTTTATTCTGAACAATGGGTGAATATGCTGTGCAGAATTTTCAGCGTGACTTTCTTTACTATTTATAAAAATCTTTCAGTTAAAACAGTAATCTAAGCAGGAACTGAATAACTATGAAGTATTATGTATAGTTTATGGGAAATTAGATAGCCCAGTGACTTAGACGAGCCGCCAACTTTTAAAATATAAATGGCTAGTTAACTTAATTGTGTGAAATTTATACTTCCTATTGAAAAGTGTAATCAAGTTTTTATACATTTATGATAAGGTAAGAAGCGGGAAACTAATATGTGTATTCATATACCTGGTATAGCGGTTAGGACGCTCGCCAACCATGCACATGGTCCAGGGTTCGATCCCCGGCCGACGCACTCCTTTACCTCGCTAAGCCAGAAATAAAACCTGGTAAAGAGGAAAGGTTGGGCATGGGGCTAGCAACCTCATCCTCTAAAATAAACTAAGATACCTGGCCTTTCCGGAAGAGAAAATAATATATACCTGGTAGAATTTCTGGAACACATATCTGATTGCTTTTTGAGGATTAAGAGAACAGGATACAGACCAAGACCCTGTAAGCAGAAAGTCCTGGGCTCAAATCGCGGTGGGCGCGTACTGATGAAGAGTCCCAAACTAGGACGAAACAGCTGTCCAGTACTCTCAGGTTTTCCAATGGTTCTCTAACTGATGTCAGCTCATGATGAAATCCGGTAAACCAATCAAATCCCTACAACCCAACACTTGAGGACACAGAAAAGTTATACAGCTGTAGGTAAAAATGGAAATGATATTGTGTTAGGAAGGTGGAAACATACACTTACTAACAAGTGATCACGTACTGATTGTAGAGAAGAAAGTGATCTTAACAAATGACGAACTAATGAGATAAATGGTGATAAACGGAGGCAGATATCAAATCAGATTTTCAAGTAAAGAATAAAGTTTCGGAGAAATGAGTTAAAAAGGTAACAAAGTAGTAATTGTCTCTTCATGAATGCATAATTATGGTACTCTTCTAATGGCAGTCACGAAAAGAATTCTTATGTTGCCTACATCTGAAATGACAAACTGGCATAGATTGGCTCGAGTCGATTATGAGTGCACAGAGACCTATTTGAAAAATGCGCTACCAAAATACCCTATTGTTATACTGTTTATTTTGTTTTATTCTGTTAAAATATGATGTCTAATGGTGTTTTCTACTCTAGCGAGTATTTACAATATCTACAATCTCCTTATTTTCAAATTTTCTACTACAACTGAGAAAAGACGAAAGCATGGGTGGGAATCTATTCCAATATATGAGATGGCTGTCCCTGAGATGTTGAATACAAACTGCCACTGTCCGAAAAAGAAAACTAATTCCTCAGCAGTTACTGTGCCTTAGGATCAAACACTGTACTCCTGCACCTTCTTAAAATGGCTTTCAACCAAGTATGGTGCACTTCTCTTGGCAGGCGCAAAGGAGAAATATCATAAGGGATAGGTTTTGGCTTCAGGTCAGTCAGCAGTGTGTCGCGCAACTTACTGTCAGTTAATACTCTACTTGAAGATCCCGGACGAAGAGAAACTACTATACAATAATTTCCGTTGAAAATGCTGTACATTATATAAACGCTAATCAGAATAAAGATATTATTATTACTGAATGAGCACTCTTATACATTAAGAAAGGACTAAATTATGTGTAGGTTACAAATATGTTCGTTCTTACCCCCATAAATATTTGTTTCTCTACTCCATCGTTTTTAAATTCGAATCTGAAAAACCTTAACTTTGACTGAATAAATGTATTCCTTTCTGGTTCGCCTGCAATTACAGACGTTTTTGGATACAAAATGTTAACCAGGCGCTTTTGAGTCTGTCTACACGATTTGTAATAAGAAACTTTGCGAGGGAATTAATAAACAAATTATTTTTCTATAGTTTGGTTTGTAAGGGTTAGTTATGTTTTTACGAGTTGATCACGGATTGATATCAGTTAGAGAACCATTGAAAACCAGGGAGTACTGGACAGCTGCTGTTTCATCCTGCGTAAAAACATAACTAACCGTTACAAACCAAACTATAGAAAAATAATCTGATGCTCGCTAGTGACTTGCTACAGGATGGAGTTTCCTGGAGTTCTAGTGAAAAGTCGTCACCAGTGAGGTTCAATTAAATGTCACCTGTGTGGATGGATGTACCGCCAATGACAGTGGCTGGGGTCGCGCTAAATCACGAATTGGTAGAAGCTAGAATTCATGGGCTGGCCATTGAATCGAGTCCAAGTGGCTGAATGGTACACGAGCAAGCTTGCTTTTTAACTAGAAGGTCCTGGATTCGAACCCTTGCAGTGAATGCGTACTGTCGATGATTCCCAAACTAGGATGAAACAGCAGATGTCCAGTACTTCCTGGTTTTCAATGGTTCTCTAACTGATATCAATCCGTGATCAACTCGTAAAAACAAATTATTACTCAACGTATATGTAGAAGAGAATGGAGATGAATTGGATATTCTTTGAGGAAACCTCTATGTGATATCATACGCGAAGCCCTCAGGTGACACCCAAATGGGAAAATACCATTTTGGAAAATAATAGTAACATAGAAGAGCATATGAAGAGAAGAAACAAAAGCTTTTATGCTATCGTTAGGTCAATGGGAACAGAGAATCGAGTGAGATTGCGATTTACTGCTGAAACCTTATGTACCATTTGGAACTCAAGAAACGCACAATAATTTTACTTGAATGACAGTTTGTCTGATTGTCTTCTTTAATTACGAAGCGTTTTAGTCCTTTTCTCTTTTATTAACCAGATGTCCTGATAATACAGTCTACTACTATGGTCATTTCCATAGATGGTACGCCTTCATTAGGTGGTGTTCAGAACTTAGCATATATTGATTTTTAGCATTTATTCAAAGTAAGACACTTAAATTTCAATAACAGCCTACTCATAATTATTTTTCTCAGCCAACTGTAGTACATTTTGACAGCCTGAAGATTAATTGTTCAAACGAAAGGTATCAGATTGTGAAAAGCGAAATCTGATTTGAATGATTGCAAAGATTATTGCCTGATTTTATATGAAATTGTAGAAAAAGAAACACTATTTTCAAGTGTATGCACGTTCCCAGTGAAACATAGGGTCTCAAGCTAGAGGCTTGAAGTTTTAGTGGCAGTGGTGTTTACTTTTACGGGATGAAGTTGCTAACCTCATGATCAACCTCCCCTCTTTATCAGTCTTATTACTGGTTTAACGAGGTGAAGGTGTGCGTCAGTAGGCGGGGAATCGAACCCCACACCACATGAGGTGCGGTGCACCGACGCACGTATGCAATAACAGAATACGACTTTTTTGTGATAAAGTCTTACACAAAATTTTTTCCTGATTGATGAAGTTGCAAAGATTTAATATATCTTAAACAAGATCATAATCTCCACCGTAGATAAAAATCAAATCTCTTATTATAATTAGAAAGGGTAAAAACTTCTTCAGTGTGAGTCAGTGGTTCAGTAAGACGAATACTCGCTAACCAAGCACGTGGCCTGGGGTTCGATTCCAGGCCAGTGCATTCCTAAACCTCACTTAGTGGGTAAAGAAGGAAGTTTAAGTGTGAGGCTGGCAACCCTACCGCGTAAAGAAATAAACTTCACTTCTATAGAACTCAGCAGGTTATAGTTAGAAGCTGTGTGTTCCCTTTGGAATGCAAAAGAAAAAATGAATTAATAATAATGAAATAATTTCAGCTACTAACCAAACGACAATTTCTGTTATTTAGGAATAATTTGCTACTATCAATAGTGTATCATTTTCTTGAAAGTTACTTGATAACTACTACCTATCTACTTGTGTTGTTCTAACTTTGTTTATTTATCTTTTGTGAGATAACCAATATAAAAAAGATTATAACACCATAGTTCTACTCATAAACTAGGTTTACCTTTCTTTTCCATTGTTACAGATTTCTGAGACTAAGCCTTTTTTAAAAAAAAAGTCGATCATAAACAATGAAGAAAAGAAATACACACAAAGATAATCCGGGCAAATTTTCCAAGAAATAGGTCATACTATCGATTTCTGCTATATCTATTTATTTATTTATCTAATTTTATTTTTGACGATCTCAGTAATCAGAATTATTTACTCATGAATAAGTATGATTTAATCCAGCCTTTTTAGTTGATTAAAACAGCGATTAATGCAGACGCCCTATTGTGAACCAACTGATTTTTGAACGTGCATTCAATCATCATCACCATGATTTAGTAGTGATATAAGTAACACACTTTTCGTTAAATAGAAAAGGGAAATATGTTGACTAGTTTAAAAGCCGTGGGATATTTTTTTAATATGCTTCAGTATTTAGGATCCCAAAACATAGAAGACAATGGCGTTGACGACTTAATGTGTCATATTTCCTGTTGTATATGTCTCTAGGCGTCTTTTTTCTCAAATCACTTGAAACTATATAGTTAGGCGCCATTGTTTAAGTCACTTCGCATTTCGTGTTGATGGATTATTTAGGTTTGAAATGCTCGACCTTTGTTCGTATGTCGGCTCTCAGTACGGACGCTTCGACGATGTCTGAAGATTAACACGATGTTATTTTGGTTTAATGGTGATTAGAACTGGGATCCAGAAATCGAATTTTGTGTTACTTGGAATTCGCCTGCTGGATATAACTATACCTATGTGAGTGATGGTGTCCTAGTAGAGACTAGAATCCTGAACCTATCGTCCCAAACGACTCAAAAGGTGGCTCTTACTGCCCAGTGGCCTACAGGATAACTTTGGAGTCTGGAACGATTTGTACAGGGTTTGGGACTGATTCTTAACAACATCGTTTACGAGGGAGTAAGGACATCTATCTGATAAGTCTCAGTAAGGGGAAAATGCGCACCCTAGATTCCTCTGCTTGTCACCAATTAACCAGAATGAAATTGTGAGCTATATCTGAGCGGCAAAATGAAATGTTTAAATATGTTTTTTATATTATCTAGTCAAGATGTATTGATCATATGGATCACTATAGTTGCATTATTCTTTCACTAAACATGGTGATGATCTGACGTTTTCTGTCTAAGTAGTTTATACATTGGATTGTTCCGATATGAACAGATTCTCATTTGAGGTTAACTAATGGTCCCCCTCAAGTGGTCTTAAAAAAATCCATTTAAATGTCATACTATTGTTTAGTTTTAGACGTGAACATGACTTGTGTGGTCTGATTCAGTCCCACAATTTTTATAATATATATGGCACTAAGACAGGGAGCAGACCAAATATCTCCTACTTTGGGTTCAGTTTTTCTTCAAATCACTCCCGATCGCCTCATATGTGGTTGATTTCGAAGAGAATTCAACGTCTTAGTCATTATGTTAAGAAGCTGAGACTTGCTGATATAACTCAACCTATTCTCCTGCAATTATTAATCCACTTATTCTGCCTATTCTTCATTTTTGTTCCTCTTTATTCTTTCCTGGACTACTTCATATTATGTTGAACACTGAAGGTCTTAAATAGGGTTAGTGGTGTGGCTTTGGCTCAACTAACTGTCAATTTTGCCTCTAGGTATTTTAATTCTTGCAAGAATTTCGCTAAAGTCATCATGTCGGATACCGAAAATCCTCTTTATTCTCAACTTTCTCCTTGTATCTCTTCGGATAAAACCAGCAGAAATAGCAGAAGAATTTATACTCATACAGCAAGATATAGAAATTCTACCGTACTATATTTAGCACAAGTTTTGTGTGAAGGGACAAATGTCAGAAAGGGGCTTATAGGCTTTTTGAATAAGTAAATAAGTAGCAAGTTATAAATAGAATAATATATATATATATAACTTATTATATTATTCATGATTCATTATGCTCCACTGACTTTCAGGTTTGTGGTTTTATTATTTTTCTACTTTATATATATTTATTAAAAGGAGTCAAACAGTTGAAATATATAAAAACGCTAAAAATTCCATTTTGCATAAATATCGTTGTTTGGGATGAAGTGATTACATTGTTACTATTATTACTGCGATTCAAATAAAAGTCGATACAGAGATGTTGTATACATGATGTTATTTAGTTCAATTAGCACTTTCCATTTGATTGATTGAACAGAAGTGGTTGACAGCTGTTGACATATAGGCTCCTTGTGAGGATCCTTCGGCAATGTCTGAAGATTTAACTTGATGAAGTTCGGTGGATGGTGACTGTCAGTGGGATCCAGAACCCACGTTTCGTCCAATTTAGGACATGTGATCTAGATGTGCCTGCATTCTTGCTAATGATTGATAGGACTCGAACCCAAAACCCATTGTTTCAAACGCTAAAGAGTTATCCACTAGACTATTTGCGTCACAGTGAAAAATCTCGGAGTACTGGACAGATGTTTCATCCCAGCCTAGGACTCTTTAGCAGTACTCACTCATAGGAGTTCGAATCCAGGAACATACGATTACCAGGCGAGTTTGCAGACCACTCGTCTACTGGAATTTAACCAAATGGCTTATTAATCCTAACTTCTCTCTCTCTCTCTCTCTCTATATATATATATATATATATATATAGCGAAAGCCAGTCACTCATAGGTGAGTAACTGATTTCTTACCTGATTTGGTGGACCCCCTCTGGCTACGGTTTTTTTACTACAATTCCAGGTAACTTCTTGTATAGAGCCAGTCAATAGTGAGCATCCGATTAATTATCAAGTGTTGTTTGCAGGCAGTTGACTGCTACGGATTTGATCATGAGTTGAGTCTAATTAGCCTATTTTCAAATGCTGGTTCAAAGTCTTCACAAAAAACATTCTACAATTTGCATATTTCTATATGGTTACTTTATGCAGTAATCTATAAAACTTTCATTTCTTTGCTATTGCTCACCACGAAGTTCTGGAAATTATTGAATTCCGTTAACTTTCGAACGCTTAAACCCTGGATTTACTATTATTGACTACTAATACCTATAACAGAGTTTTTGGACATTTGTATCCTTTAAAAACAACCCACACGTAAAATTGTATATATCATTGGATTTATATGTTCAAGTTGGCCCAAGTCAGTGAGTCTGTGATTTTGGTATCATTTTAGTTAACTGTGCTGAACTATATTGCATGTTGTTGTATTGTATCGTTGTTGTCGCTTTTTCCCCTTTTTGCTGTGAATTGTTTTCCTTTTGTTGGTGTTGTTCTCATTGTTTTATCCTTGTTATCTGATTTTAAGGGGAGCAACCCAAAAGGTCGCTTCTCTCTAAACTTTATCTTAATGTAACCATTCCTTTCTCAGGCGTGAGGCTAGCAACCCCACCCTGTAAACAATATTGCTACAGAAACTTCAGCACGATGAACCTCTTTGCACCAAAAGAAAAAGTCTGTGTGGGGACATGGAACGTCCGAACTATGTACGAGACAGGGAAAGCTGCCCAGATCGCAAACGAGATGAAAAGATACGGAATCCAAGTGCTGGGAATATGTGAAAGCAGATGGAATGGGAATGGACTCACCAAATTGTCAACGGGTGAGTCAGTGATCTACTCCGGTCACCCAGAAGATAACCACACGCACACCGAGGGCGTGGCTATCATGATGTCACCAACGGCAACGAAAGCCCTGATGCAATGGGAGGCGATCTCGTCCAGGATAATGACCGCCAGATTCAACTCCAAAGGAAGGAAAGTGTCAATCATACAATGTTATGCACCCACAAACAACGCAGACCTCGAAAAGAAAGAAGAATTCTACAGACAACTACAGGCAACAATGGACAATACTCCAGCTGGCGACATGAAAATACTAATGGGAGACATGAACGCCAAACTGGGACCAGACAACACAGGAAGGGAACTCATCATGGGTAGAGAAGCTCTCGGAGAAATGAATGAAAATGGAGAACTCTTCGCCGACTTCTGCGCCTTCAACGAACTAGTGATTGGTGGCAGTGTATACAAACACAAAGATATCCACAAGGCTACATGGGTGTCACCAGACGGGCAAACCAAAAACCAAATCGACTTCATCTCAATCTCAAGGAAGTGGAGGCGCAGCCTACTGGACACAAAAGCAAGAAGAGGAGCAGACGTTGGCTCAGACCACTATCTCGTACAAGGGACAATCCAAATCAAATTAAAAGCTTTCAGAGAAGGAGGAGCTGCAGATAGACCACAAGCCAAGTTCAACACTCAAAAGCTGAAGGACCAGGCTACAAAGGACATCTTCATTGCAAGCATAAAGGACAAAGTCGAGACACAAATCAACACCAGCGAAGAGGTCGGCGTCGAAAAGCACTGGAACAACTTGAAAACGGTGTGGAGCCAAACCTGCATGGAAGTTCTAGGCAGAAAGAAGAGACAGGACAAACAGTGGCTCACTATGGACACTTGGAAACTAATAGAAGAGAGAAGGACAGTGAAACAAAAGATTATCCAGTGCACTGACGAGCAACAAAAACAGGAGCTGAATGCAAGCTACAATACACTGAACAAAAGAGTGAAGAAGAGTGCCAGGGAAGACAAAAGAAAATATTATGAAACCATGGCAAACGAAGCAGAACAAGCTGCAGGCAAAGGAGACCTCGCCACACTCTACCAAACAACTAGGCACCTATCGGGCAAAAGTTCGACACAGATTAAGCCAATAAAGGACGACAATGGAAAGTCAATCACCAAAGAGGTGGAACAGAGAAAGCACTGGGCTGAACACTTCAAAAGACTTCTAAATCGTCCGCCACCTACAACGCGCCCAACAATACCAACAACGGAAGCAGAACTACCAGTGAACATCGACCCTCCGACGAAATCAGAAGTCCTGAATGCAATCAAGATGCTAAAAACCGGAAAAGCAGCAGGACCAGATGGAATCCCAGCAGAAGCTTTGAAAATGGACCCAGAGACAACAGCGGACTTGATGACACCACTACTGGAGAAGGTGTGGAAAGAGGGCAAAGTACCCGAGGATTGGAAGAATGGATACTTATTCAAACTTCCAAAGAAAGGAGACTTAAGTCAATGTAAAAACTGGCGCGGAATTATGCTTCTGTCCATTCCAAGCAAAATACTAAGCCGCATCATCCTGGAGAGAATCAAACAAGCCCTAGATGAAAAACTTCGACCGGAACAGGCTGGATTCAGGAGAAACAAGTCATGTATTGATCAAATCGCCACACTACGGATCATCATTGAACAAAGCTCTCTATCTCAACTTCATCGACTTTGAAAAGGCCTTCGACAGCGTCGATCGAGAGGTCATTTGGCAACTACTTCGCTACTACGGGGTCCCATCGACAATTATACATCTCATCCAACAGTTATACGACAATGCTGCATGCCAAGTAATCCACAACGGGAAACTTACGGAAGCCTTCGAAGTGAGGACGGGAGTGAGACAAGGCTGTCTACTATCACCAATGATTTTCCTGATTGCAGTGGATTGGATAATGCGACAGAGAGCGGGCAATGAGGAAACAGGCATAAAATTGACTTACACAAAACACATGGAGAATCTGGACTTCACCGATGGTATATGTCTGATTTCCCAAAAATTGGGAGATATGCAAGTGAAAAGCAACAAGTTGGAAGAAGAAGCATCAAAGATAGAGCTTCAGGTGAACATAGACAAAACAGAAGTGATGAAGATTCCTGGCCAACCAACAGCAACAACAACAACAACAACAGACAACAATCAACATAAATGGGAAGAAACTGAAAGAAACAACCTCCTTCACCTACCTGGGAAGCATCGTTTCAACTACAGGCGGAACTGACGAGGACATCAAAGCCAGAATCGGAAAAGCAAGACAAGCTTTCATTACCCTTAAGTCTGTGTGGAGGTCAACAGCACTCAGCATCAAAAATAAGATCCGGATTTTCAACTCCAATGTGAAGTCAGTGCTTCTATACGGATCAGAGACTTGGCGAGTCATAACGAGCATCTCAAACAAACTTCAGACCTTCATTAACAGTTGTCTTCGCTCAATACTCAAGATCAGATGGCCAGAAAAGATCAGCAACAGGGATCTCTGGGAGCGAACCAACCAGGAACCGATTGTGAAACAAATAGACAGAAAGAAATGGAGATGGATTGGTCACACCCTGAGGAAACCATCAAGCGACATCACTAGACAGGCCATCGCTCGAGTGGAACCCGAAAGAGAAACGGCGAGTCGGTTGTCCAAGGGTGACTTGGAGGAGGTCATGCGAGGAGGAGATGAAAGCATGTGGGCAGACTTGGAGCGGAGTGAAAAAGTTGGCAGGAAACCGAAGGCAATGGAGGTGCGCGGCTGAAGCCCTATGTTCCTCTAGGAACTAAAGGATATAATAATAAATAAATAAATAATAATAATATTTTTATATTCATTAAACTGAATGAAATTAAGGTCTTATTTTATCCCTTTAAATGTAAGGCACTTGGTTAAGGACCCATGATCTTATCGGAGATGGAACCCAAGACCTTCAGACAACGAGGCTATGCCTTTGATCAGTTAGACACTGACAAGCAATACAATGGCACATGAACTCTAACTTCTGTCATTTCGTGATATACAGTACCACTGAAAGCCAATGTAATCGGAAAGTATTTGTTCTCAAAAATTACATGATTTTCTGAAGTTCAAGTAGAGAAATAAATTTCAAATTCTATTTCTTTGAACTAGAAGTATTATTTCTACAGTTTTAATGACGTCAGCATCATCTTCCTAGCATAGTTCAAAGTTTGAAATTATTTATACTAAATTTCCTGCTGATGTTTCTGAGCTAAATACGATCATTTAACAAAATTATCTTGAGAACTAATATTTATGCGAGTTTGGGAATCACCGGCAGTACGCAACCACTGTCAGAGTTCGAACGCAGGACCTTCCGGCTACAAGGTGAGCTTGTAAACCATTCAACCACTGGGACCCGATTCAATGGTCCCTTGAATTCTAACTTCTACAATTCGTGGTTTAGCGTCACCACCAACAAATGTCATCAAGGGGAAATCCATCCTCACTGCCGATGATTTCCAAACTAAAATGAAACAGTTATTCAGTAATCCCTGATTTTCAATGGTTCTCTTACTGACATCACTCCGTGGTCAAATTAGTAAAAACAAATCTAATCCTTACAAACCAACTTCTGAAAATCAATATTTATGCATTTGATGCACTTTGCAATTGCAGAACACCTGCTGTGAATATAGTAATTAGTACAATGTTCTCAATGATAATTGCTCAGTGCATTCATCACAACTTTTATTTTTCATAAATTCAAATTATACGATAGGCAAAATAATGTTTATAACACCGAAACTAATTTAAATGACATCATAGACTAAAATGGTTGAGTAATGGGAAATGCCAGGACTCATTTAGCAAAAAGTTCACGACCGAGAGTTTAAGCTTGTTACTACATATCTAGAAATGTCATCAGATAACATATATGTATGCGTAGATATATGTATGTCAGAATCGATTAGTTACAGCCATCATAGCTTACTGATTAAAGTAATTTTGTAAGATAGTAAATGTCAAATGTGACACTTAATGCGGTCAAGTAAATCTAGATATAAAGAAAAGATGCTTATTCTGAGTTAGTTAGCTCGACAGACACATGTCAAAGTTAACTGGTAGATTTCTGTCATTACCAACATTAAATTGATGACATTAGTCATTCTCAAGTGTCTAACCAATATATCCATAAGAGTCCTGACAAAGTGACAAAGTTTCAAATTATGGAACTTAATACAGAAGTGCACTTGTTGAAGTTCTCATATTCCATATAGCCCACAAAAGTAGGCAAAAGCGTAAAAAAGCCATTCATAAGTTCTATAATAAACAGAAATGTGAAAAAGAAAGAGTAGTAACATGGAAAACCTTTACGGTTTACTGGATCCAGGAGATTACAAACAGTGAGTGCCCTGGGAACGATTTCGAGCCATATCTCCAACAGTTTCAAGTCACTGGATCATAGAATCCAGAAGACACAAACCAGACAATCTACACCTCCTATATAGTTCAACCAATAGTCAAAATGCCATGGACTGATTCCCGGTTTCGGTATGACCACCCCTGGCCCTTTACAACCTTATCATTTTTTTTCTAACACTGTTCATCGAGGAAGAAGATGGCTTGGAATACGCAGCATGTATTTTAGTCATCTCACTTCTACACTCCTATAGGAGGTCGATCGTGAGATCGATTGGGTGACACGCGTTGGAGTCTCAGAGGGTCGAAGATACACCTTATTGAAAGTAGAGGACTTCCTACCATTTAATATTAATGTTCTTTAATAAGTGAAATACATCTTGTAACTCATAACATGTAATGTTCATAATTCACTATTTTCATGGACTATTGAAACCTTTGATAATTTGAAAATTTTCAAAAGAATGGTTATTGAACAAAGAATACTCTCTTCGATAACTTCATCATCAGGTTTTACAGTTATGTATACATAATAGTGAATGAATCAGTGTTATGAACAACAATAATGTTTATATAACATTAAATCGGTAATACAAATAGATTACAGCTCAGTAGACGTGCGTCGGTGGTATAGCGGTTTGGACACTCGCCAAATATGCACATGGTTCGGGGTTCAGTTCCCGGCCGACGCACTCCTTCACTTGCTGAGCCAGAAATAATGCTGGTAAAGAGGAAGGGTTGGGCATGAGGCTAGCAACCCCATCCTGTAAAACAAACACTGCTACAAAAACTTTAAGCCAGTGGCTTGAAGCCCTATGTTCCACTGAGTAACGTGAAGGAAAAAATACAACAGTGTAGTAGCATCAACATAACAATAAACTGAATGTCAGAAAAATTAGGAAAGATAATAATACAAATTCATGAATTCTGTAGTCTCCATTGAAAGCTGGCCAGGGCAGTAGTAGTGGCTGGACCTGATTCTTTGTACACAAAGCCCTGGTTGTTTCACGTGAATTGCGACAGCCTCTGCTGTATGGAGCATGTGGTACCTCGACGGTTTTGGCAATTTACTTGGTACCCGGTAGATAATAGAGAAGGATTCTCCTCCAATACTGGCTTTGTGGTCGGCCGGTTCAGACTAGATGGTCTAATATCGAACTGTTGATGGTTTTTATCACACCTTTACTTAGCTATACTGGGAGATGTTTTTGAGTATGAAAAATTGAAAATTATATAACTAAATCTGAACAAATAAGTAAGTTTCTTAATGTATTTTCACATCATGAATAAGCTATACGGTTAGGCTGATAATATGATCAATGAAAATAAAAGCTCTACAGTTAATAAAACCTTTTTCGTAACAGGCAGTAATTAAGTAATCTGAGGTCTAAGAATGTAACCATGCGCGTATTTAACTATATTTTGTTTTGACTGTCCTTCAGTCATATTCATTGGAATATAACTGAATAATTACGTAGGAGGTCATTTACTCAGATTACTATTATTATTATTAGTTACCATAGTTGTTAGTAGATGAAAGAAAATACCAATTCCTTAATGATTCTCAAAAACCATTTTCCATTCATTAATAAATAACATAATATCTTTACGTTGTTTAGTGTACAAATTGAACGACTTTTTAAAAAAAAGTGAAACAGGAATACCTTTACGTGACCTAATCACATCTATGTGACTGTTTTGTCACATACGTTCGTTTATTTTATATAACTGAGTTTTGTAATATTTTTGTTGTTGTTGTCGTTGTTATTATTATTGACAGGATGTAGTAAACAAAAAAAAACAAAAATCTACCAAGATGGATCTTATTTCTACTTTATTTAGATGCTGTTTTATTCTCACCAAAATGAAATTGTTTAGGACAGCTGACAAGAAACTCTGGAACTATTTTTAATTTGATGTAGGTGTTTCATTTGTGAGTATTTGGAAAACGCATGCGACTTTGAAATATTATAACTTAGAAATCAGAGATAAAATAAAACTACTGTTTGATGGCTAATATACACAAATTTCATAGCAAAGCATTCATGTGTACATTGATTGTTTACAATCTAAATTCTCAAGAAAATTTAGACAAATTACACTTAATTGTGGAAAATA